GGCCCTGCCAACCCCCACCAGTCTGTGATATCCTTATTAAGTATACCGCAGCAGACGTTAACATTTCCTGCTGCACCAGGACGGTACCTGAAGGCAGGCTACAGCCCACACTGATGCCTCTGCCTACCTGTGGCTCTTATGCAGCTCGATCACTTTATCCTCCAGCTCTTTAGTGTGATTCGGTGCAAAGCGAAATTCGCTGACGTAGTCACTGCCGTACTCGTCGGGGTCGTAGTCGCCGAGCTCCGACTGCACGGTGTAGGAGCCCAGCAGGGCCAGTGTAACGAATGAGCAGGGCAGCCGACCCGAGACAATGTCATCTCTCAGCTGCAAGCAGAGGTAGTACCTGCAAGGGAGCACCAAGGCGGCTCGGGAAGGGGTCCCCCACCGCTGCTCCCAGAGGAGCACTGCCCAAGCACCAGCAAGAGGCCTCGGTTCCTCTACTAAATTGCAGACAACTCCCAAGCCCAAAGTTTCCCGGGTGTTAACAAGGATAGCAATAATTTTAAAAAAAACAACAAAAACCAACCGAACAACCCTTGCCTAACTTACAGGCAGCAATGCCTAATTTATCTTTATAAAGCAGCAGAGAAATCTCCTAATAAAATAGGTTATTACTGTGGTTACTGACCTAGATGGAGAATTATTTATTAAACATATTATAAATCACTAAGATATATAGCTACCTGATCAATGTTTTCTTTAAGGAGAAAAAACAATCAAAACCTCCAAATACTATTCATTAAAGGGTAGCTGAACTCCAAGCCATTCAAAAAACGTAAGTTGTTTCTTCAGAAAACTGTCGAGCTTTTGCAAAAATACATTTAAACAGTAAATGCTGTTAAAACCACAGTGATAAGCAGTACAAGGGATCACCAGATAGAAGAAAACAGAAAAAAAAGTGAAGAGCATTGGCTTGGTGGTGAAGGCACAGAGTTCCCAGGGGAGATTTGAGGGAGAGAAGAGAAAAAGGCAATCCTTTCTTTTGGAAGCCCTCCGCTGAAGTGTGAGCTCTTGGCACGCTGTCCTTCTGCGCAGTGCCTAGCACAGGGGACCTCGGAGCCATGCCAAAGGCTTCATGCTGCCTTAAAAGCAACAAATGGTTTAACGAAGGTTAAAAATATCCAAAGGCTGCAAAATGTTGTAACAGGCTGGGGAACAGTTTGCGGGTGGCACAAAACTCGTCCTGGCTCAGAAGTTTTCCCACCTTAAACCAAGGAGGAAAGCAGGTGAGGTATTTTTTCCGGTTGTGGTTGCAATGTGAGTACAAAACGAGAGAGCAGAGGTGCAGACTGCAGAGCTAAGTGACTTGGGTAGCAGGGAGCAGCCATTCCTTACCACCGTATGCCCTCTACCATACACATGAATTGCTTACCACGTCAAACGACACACAAAATTTACACCCATGCTTATTCTCATCCCACTTCTTTTCTTTCATAGTTATGATTTCACTTACAATAATGACTTGTTACCACTGGCAAAAACAGGCATCGGGCGTCTTTGTGAAAATGAAAATCAACTCTCAGGAATAAGTATACCGGAAAAGCTGGGGTTTAGGGTTAAATTGCACAAAAGTCTTCTTAGCTCGGAGGACAGACACTGTTCACAGTGTCTTTTCTGCCAAAGCATTGCATATTTTTCCATAAGTTCGTAAGAAAAAAGCAGCCAAAGGGAATACAAAACATTCCTTTTCTTGAATAATTAAAGCGTAAACACTACTACAAACAGCTCTTAAGCCCCTTCTAGAAAGGTATTTAATGTTTTAAATACCTGGTAATATCTTCAGATAGCTGGGCAGGGTCTGGAGGGTAGAATTTCACATTAAATGCAAACTGCCAAGCACCACCTGGAAAAGAACACAGATTAACTGAAAGTACACCGTAAGTGCAAAGGGAGATGCTCATGCTGTTCGATTACCAGCAGACTTAAAACACCTCAGCCAAGCAATTCATAAGAACAGGACACAGCATCTTTCTCCCATACATCGCTCTGAAGATCCTTTTCCCTCCCACAATTACAATATTGGATCAGATTTCATAGCTCTTTTCTTACTTAGTAAGATTTCCACTGAGGCGAGGACCCTAAGGGAGCAGTAATTTATTACTAACACCTAAAATACCCCCTCAGCCCAAACGCAACGTTGACTGGAATTAACCATCTAAAAACACAGCCTATACAAGCTTTAAAAACCAGTAACCCACAACACAGCGGGGCTGGAAACACCACAAGCCAGAGTACGACTGGGGTGCAGAGCGGGGTGATGTGCCGAGGTCCGGTGGCCCAAGCCAGCTCACAGCACCCCCTCTCAGTGCTCAGCACCCCCCCCCCGGCCTCCAGCAGACAGAAAGGCCTGGGCAGCCAAAACGGCAAGGGCAAACACAGCGAGCACGACCGAAACCCAGTACGTAACACCAGGGAATTCTTATTTCGTTATTTCAGTAAGTGTAGGTGATCCATGGGATGGACACTGGCCTGCGTCACCACAGTTTGCGAAATGTTTTTTGGAATGTTAGCTTTAAAAGTTGTAAAGAAAGAACATCAAGATTGAAAAAAAAAAAGGAAGAGTTGAACATAATATGTAAATATAAAAGCTATTCTGAAAAAAGGACAGGTTACACTAGTGTATGTCTCGGATGCAAATAAAAAGCAGTAACAAAACTCCAAACCACAGTGTTCTTATAAACAAGGCAGTGTTTTTTCAGTACAAGACTTTTCACTGAGGCTTCTGCTGTGGGACATCCCTCTGACGTACTTCTGCCGCATAAATCACAGGATTTCTGTAGTCAAGAAACCAAAGCCAAAGTAACGACACTTCTGTTTTCTGAAACGCATCGATGTCAAAGTACAAATCCAGCTAGAAATAAATTGCTCGCTCTTGAAAAGTCCGTATTGGCTGTGTACTGAGGAAGTGCTCGCGAACACTGTGAGAAACAGGACTCCGTTTTTTTTTTTTGAATGATCTTTCATTCAGGGGCCCCTCTTAAGGGCACCCCCGCAGGAGCACGGGCTTTGGAGGTGGATCTGGTGCACTCTCCGCTAAGACAGCTTACATGCTGGACAGGTCTGCTTGCCTGGAAATACCGTTTGGTTGTCCTAAGGGTGCTTGGCAGTATTTATTTAGAGATGACAAGGCAGTTTCATCCCGTGCATAGCCTCATCCACTTTGGTCCTCCACGCACCTGAGAAAACAAGCTCTATGTGTGAGAAGGGTTTTGACATTTACCATTGGGACTGCAGCTCTGGGTGAGACTTTTGGGTTCCTTGATTTTGGGAACTTTTCCACTCTCTTGGGTCATAAAAGCTGACGGAAGGAAGATTTGGCTGGCTGTGAGGATGGGGCACGGTCCCACCAGGGAGCAGATCAGGTCCGAGGTGGGAGCAGAGCCTTTGGGTGACATCTGGCCCCATGACAGAGGGAAGGGGCAATGGCCCAAAAATCTATTCCTCTGACACTCACAAAATAAATCAAACCGATGATACAGCCTATCATATAGCATGGATGGTTAAGATACCAGCGTAAGAGGCCTTCACCCCTCACTTATGGGGGTTTAAATAAAACCTAACTCTGCGTAAGTTAGTGGGTTATAACTAATGGGGTGCGAACCAGGGGCCGCACGCGTGGCGACAGCCTCATTTCTCAACCACTGCAACGAAACCCCTGTGGTCTGCAGTGGAATCATGGATAGCCCAGTGCTGAACAACTCCACCAGCATGTAGCATTTAGTGTTTTGGAAAGTGTCATGGGTAACAGCCCTACTTTTCCACCGCTGTCCTCTTCCAAGCTTCTGGGGTGAATTGTACAGAGCAAGCAAATTATTGCTGTCATCTTCTGCAAACACATCTGTCCCCTGCGCAGTCGAGGACGAGACTCTTCTGCCCTGGTTAATCCCTCGCTGTCACAACCTTTCATTGTCTACCTCACGGCTCGGGCACATATTAGGTGCATTTCAAATCAGTGGTGTGGAGCTGAGCTGCTTTACTTTCATTCACCATCAGCGTAACCTGACTCATCGAGGTCTACAGCACTTTCCAGATCTATCGTCTCAAGAGATTAAAAAAAGGCAGATTTTCATTACTTTTTATTGCAAGTAATACTGGTGGAAAGGTGTGGTTGCTCATGGTAAATGGGGAAATTTCCCAGTCAGTGTAAATTAACCCCTTGAATCTTGGAGAGGGAAGGGATGCATTTGCAGGGCCTGACCAAACGTGAACTACCAGATGTGTTTGCTTGTGAAAGCACAAGTGCTAGAAGAGATCATTTACAAAACGTGCAAAGAAAAAAAAAACTACTGAGGCTTTCCTGCCCAGAGAAGTGACACACAGAAACATTTCAGCAATTTTAAAAAGTGAGGGGGTGGGGGGGGAAGGCAGGTCAAATTTTGAGCCTGGCAGTCTTGACAAGGTTTTCCTTTAAGAGGCTTTTGAATTTCTAATGTAGCAGACGGCTAAATTTAACAACTGAGCTTTTTAAAATATTCATGTGAAGCAGAAAATTGACTGGTTCTCTGTGAATTGAATAGTCATTTTAGGAGCAAAGGTCAAGCTTTTGAAATGCAAGAAGGAAAGATACTTTAGATAGAGTGCTATTGTTGCATCAGTGAAGTATTTCAGCGTGGGGCATGAGCAGTGAACCTGGATATGATATAAATTTCAGTAATGCAAAGAAATAATTTTTCTATGTGGCCTAGTCCCTAAGGTTATGTTGCTTAATGTCAAACTTCAGCTTTTTGCATGTCTGCAAATGTCAAGTTGTTTTCAGCAATGCAAGTTCATGTACTACGAGCCTCAGTAACCGCCTGCACTCAGTATGGGGTAAAAAACCGAAAAGATGCAGGTAATTCCTTTGCCAGAGACTTGGGACAGGATGCCAAAGAAGATTGTGAAATCGGCTTTGCTGTCCCACGGTGAGCGTGCTCTCCTCGGGGAAGGCATCGACCCTGGCCCTGTCCCACCCATCCCCTCGCCCCGTGGGCAGCGGGGCTGGGGCAAGGGGGCTGCCGAGCCCCCGGTGTTGGGGCACCCCGGTGGGACCGGCCCTTCGAGCCAAGAGCGGCGAGGTACCCCAGCCTTTTAGGAACAAGCCCAGAGGATGAGAGGGGCTGGGCAGTCCGGTGCCCAGCAGCTGGGGAGCCCCCCTGCCTCTCGCATCCCTGCTCGGTGCCTTCCCAAATGATGACGGCAGTTCAGAGCAAGAGAATTTTTTTGTGCAGATTTTTGGGGTCCACATACACCAGAAGGAAAGTTTTCCAGGCCCCCGAAAATAAACACACAGATGATAACAAACTTACTTCGGATCTGTTTCTTGATTTCCTTGGCAGGGTCCAACCAATTCTGCGAAGAAAATGTTTCCTTTTTTCAATTTGAATTAAAAAACACAATAAACATTATTTTTAAAACAGCGCTATGAGTCAAAGCTAGAACACGCGAAGGTCTGCCACCCCTTTCTCCTTGGAGCAGCAGTAGGCCGGGATAACACTAACTTTCAACATGTGGCCCTAGGTAGAAGTTAGGATTTTTATTAACCTTCCCATGTATTGAGGGACTGAATGGTTGGAAATAAAAAATAAAAAAACCCCAGAAATTAGCGAAGTAAATCCACAGAAATACTTTTCCAGAGAATCTGCTGGGAAAATTAAATTCCTACAAGCTTGTTAAGAAGGTTTTTTTGTTTGTTTGGTTGGTTGGTTGGTTTTCTCTAATCCTGGAAGGGCTGGAAAGCCTTACTAGAGGACGAGCAATCGCGGCGTAGGGCACTGCCCCATTCACAACCCGGTGTGGGCACGAGGGGCTCCCTGGGGACAGAGGGAGCGCAGAGGGAAACCAGGGCCAGAACCACAGCACCGGGGCTGCCCCCATCCACGCCACGCAGAGCCTGGTGACTACGTAAGACAAAAAACCTGCCGAGGAGGTGAGGAATTATCACAGCCATGTGTTACTACTCCATGGATGTCAAGGGGCAGATGAAATTCCTCTGGAGGAGGCATGCAGCAGCTTGGGGGTCTCTTAGTGCCACCGCTGCCTTGTCCTCTAACAGAATCAAATTAATATTTAAAATGCATCACGCAGCCCAGAACAAAAAGTTCACGTTCCCTAGGAAAGTTCCACTTTCTCCAAAGAAAGATAAACAAATGTATCAGAGAAACAAAAATACTAAAGAAATACCAAACAAGCAGAACACAACAATCCTCCCCCAACAAAAACAACCAGTTTGCAGCTGTCCAAACCCTGTCTGTGGTGCAAAACACGAGCCTGAAGAGCTCCAGCTATTGCTGAGCACAAAAGCACACTATGCACCAAGAAATTAAAGATAAATCAGGATTTCTGTTTTCAACGATGACATGTGATGTGGGCACATATATTGTCCGGCTGGAAGTTACCTGGCAGAGGATGGAGGTGAACTGCTAAGTATTTTGACATTAAAAATATGCATGTTATTGATCAATAAACGTGGTGGCAGGCAGTTATTCTTTTAGCTGTTCAGCTCTGTAAAGTAACAGGTGATCTATAAATGTTTAGTGTTTCTAAACCACCTGTTAACAGTGAATACATTCTTCTCTTTCCAGTACAGGAAAGCAGATCTGCCTGGAAATGCACTTAAACATCTGCCTAACTATTACCACAGCTCAAAACTGAGTGTATGCTAAAGTGTTATCTTGCAATGGCATGGACCAAGTGTCTGCTTAAGTGATTTTCTGAATCAGAAACAAAATCCTCAAATTTAGAAGTCTGTAAGGAAAGGGGGAAAAAGAGAGACAAAAAGGCTGATTTCTTTTGTATCATATATAACTGAAACAAAGGGAAGCCTAGAAAAGACAACTGTTGCTCTCTCAAGATACAAACAGTTAAAGAAGCAGTAACAGCTCCAGCTCCACCAGGGAAGACCTTTCAGGCCACGCAAAGCACAAAACACCTTTGCCTGGTGAGCTCTGCTGGGCTACTGCACATAGTGCTAAGAACTTCTGTTACTGGTTTCTCTCAAAATTTTTATCTTAAAATGCCAAAATCACACCGCATATTTTAAATTATCCTCTGACACTCTGGCTTTCACCATAATGTCTCCAAAACAACATACACATCTCACCTGCACATTAGATCATCTTGAACACTGTTAATACACAGCTTATTTAATACTAAAGTTGAGAAGCAGACGAGCAGAATGTGATTCACTATTGCTACCAACTGCTTCTGAAGACTAATGTTTTTAGTCAAATCAACAATAATGCTAAGATAAAGTAAGTCAAGACTTAAAGCCTTACTTTATCTTAGCAGTTAGCACACTCAATCAACTCCTGCCTATCTGTATCCCAACCACAGTATTATTAAGCCATATTTTAGTATTATATGTTTAGTAGTGCATCCACAAATGTAAATCTGACTTTCATCTATGGCAGTAATGAAATAAATCATACTAGAAGGAGAACCAGCTATATGATTAACTTCTTTCATGTCACAAATAGCCAGCACAGAGGGAAGCCAGGGAAACACAGGGGATGCTCTCCAGAAGCAGAGTTACAACAAACAATAGCTCAAGCTCTGTCTATGGAACTCGGCAAGGAAGATAAAACCGACTTCTAGAGAGTTTGAGGCTGCCTGGAGGGTGTCTTGGGGAGCTCGGGTGTCCACATGCCAAAGGCCAGCTGCAGTTTTGTGGGTTACCTTTTGGTTTTCCGTGTCTCTGTATGTTAGCCCAAAGTAGTCTTTTTCCAAAAGGTTCAGATGTTCGCACACTTTGTCGAATAGCACTTGACCTCTGGAACGTTTCTGTGGGAAATGAACAGGAAAAACAAAAAATCAGGTTTGCAAAATAAGTAATATAAACATTGAAATAACACCTTTTCTGTTTAATCATCAAATCAATAAACCCAAAATGATTTAGTTCAACTCATCCATCTTTCAAACCTATTGACCTGGAGCTTCCTAACAGTCTGCCAAATGGGGCAAACGGGCTTCTCATAAAAGCCGAGGTCTTGATGCAGAGTTAAAAACAAGTCAATACACATCATGTTTCAAGTTTCAACGAGAAGATCTCTTCTGTCTTTCAGAAACTGCAACTTCAAATGCATGCTGAGGCCGTATCTCAGCAAACTGGAGGGTTCTTTGTGTGCACCAGCAGCAACAAACAACGGTACAAAATATTCCCGGTCATGGACTATCAGAGCTGTGACTGGGGGGGGATCCACTGGAGTAAACCCAAATGTGGAGGTAGTTCTTGCTTCGGTAACATTGTGGATTGATTCCAGGATCCTTTTTTGTCTAATATATGGGGAAACGCAAAAACACCACCTACTGAAATCACTGAAAGAGCCCAGTATCTCACTGGGAACACAGCTGAGTAAGAAAGCAGCTTTCCAGCGCCCCACTAACCTTCTTCACTGCTAACACATAAGATGCAAAGATCTCTCACCGTCAACAGCCAGAGCCTTTCGCAGAAGTTTCAGTGTCTCTCATATTGGACGGCAAAAATTCAGGTCATCCTAGCTCTCAGCGTTGTATGTGACGTTGAGCAAAAAATCTCCCAAAAACCAAATGCAGACAGAAGCATCCTCTTTATAAGCTACATGTGCCAACTTTGATATGTATTAATTATAATAAACAGTTCAAAATTATTTGGGCCACTGTTTCATCACTGCCTGCTTCCCTAAGTGCACCTCAGCTAAAGGAAAAAGATCTCCCTACTTTATTTCAAACACACACATGCATGAATATTTTAGTTGATGTCAGCACCGCATTTTCTTTATCTGTAGCACACACATGACTTGCAGCAGACTGGAAATACACTCCTTTCTTCCAACACACGGCAGGAGGCTGACACAAAAGAGGAGAGAATGCCACCTCCCACTTTACGTCCCTCCACCGACAGAGCTGGGCCCGGACGGCGCTGCCAGCCCAGCATCCTTGGCTGGAGGGGGTGGATATTTCGCAATCCAAGCTGACACAGCTATGCCAACAAACCCGTGGAGCCCAATGCTGGCCTCAAACCATTTTAGAAGTTGTCAGCAAGCCAAGAAAAAGCTAAAAAAAAAAAAAGAATTGAGGGTTGCTGCCTAACGCCCTGGAAAACATTCCAAGAGATGATGGAGGGAGCTGTGTGGCATAACCTGTGTGAAATCTGGTATTTCTGCTGGGGCTCTAATGGCATATTAGAAAGGAAGCAGGGAAGTATCCTCTCCATTTTTATCGATGGGGAAACTGAAGAGTGTGGCTGATGGAGTCTAACAAGCGTTCTCCAGGCACCGAAGCGCATTGCAAGCATATTGCTGTAACTTCATTTACTGTGTCTTCCAGCATCATTTGAGCAAACAGCTCTAGGGCTGCCTTCTGCTTGTCATGTGCTTTCCACCCTGTAGTAGGAAGCATAAATATACCCCAGCTCTTTTATAATGTGAAACAAATGTTTTATTAATTCTTCACACCCGAAACTTGGAAGCAGATGCACGGATGGAGACTCCACAGCCTGCGTGGGCAACCTGTGCCAGTGTTTGACCACCCTCATAGTAAAAATTTTTTTTTTCTTCTGTTTAAATGGAAATTCCTGTATTTCGTTTTGTGTCCCTTACCTCTTGTCCTGGCAAACGGGTACCACTGACCACAGCCTGGCTCCATCTTCTCTACTCCTCCCACCAGGCACTGATACACATTGACTGGATCCACCCCAAGCCTTCTCCTCTCCAGGCTGAACAGTCCCAGCTCTCAGCCTTCCCTCATTAAAGAGATGCTCCAGGCCCTTCATCATCTTCGTGGCCCTTTGCTGGACCCTCTCCACTATGTCCATGTCTCCCCTGTACTGGGGGACCCAGCACTCCAGGAGCTGAGTAGATGGGAAGGATCAGCTCCCTTCACCTGCTGGCAACACTGTCCAGGATGGCACTGGCATTCTGTGCTGCCAGGGCACATCATGGACTCTTGTTCATTGTGTTGTCCATCAGAACCCTCCGGTAATAATCCATCCTGTATTGCAGCAATCAAGCTACCAAACCCGTATGTTACTGCACTGTGGTAAATAATGGGGAAACATCACATGGGAAACAAGCAACCAACAACTTAATACCAAGATGTGACACCAACTTCCTTGTCATACAGGTGCTAGTAAGACCCCAGGAACCCTCTTTGCTATGTAGTGAGATACAGGGAAGAGATCAGGAAGACTTCAAGTGTTAAGCGCTGGATGGCACTTCTCAGACTGGAAGCTGGTTGTGCCAAAGGAAAATTTATCAGGATCCAGAACTGCCACCTCCAAGAGACAAATTTTGCTTCTGTGTGAGAGCGTAGGCTTGGTTGTTCCCAGAGGGTTTCAAGGCACTGGCCCGGCAATGCCATGGCTGGTCTGACCCAGCACCGGCCATCGCCCGGCTCAAATCCGGGGCCTCCCCAGTCCCTTCCGACCAGCACAGTCATCATACTGGGCTCCCCGTGCACCTCTGCAAGTGCTAAGGGGTTAACCGTCCTCCACCTGATTACAGTGTAGAGTGTTAGCCTACTCTCATACTCTATTTTTATTCACAAGCAGATTACCTTCCTCTCACTGATAGGGAACTAGGATGAGGAGCTGAAGAGCAGAAAACAGTCCTCTCAGCTTCCTAGAAATGAAAGCCATTGCAGCCTCCAAAGTGTCGCATTTTGGAGCGGTTCTATTTTTGCATCCGATGCTGCAGTCTCATGTGGATGCGAAATGCTGAGCAAGGGCTGTCTGCAGCACGCAGGTATGCCCCTCCTGTTTGAAAGCAATTACAAGAGATCACATTCAGACTGAATTTTACAGGCAAGGGAAAACTCAAGGAAGAAGGAGTCCCACAGCCAAACAGCTATAATGGGATTCATTTTTTTGCCACCAATAACCATCATCTCCACTGCACAGGAACTGCACGGTCAGGGCACCCCAATGAATTGAGTCTTCACTTCCCTGTCTGTTCAGTCAAGGAGCACAGCAAGACGAACAAGTGTCACAGCTGCGGACCTGGATTTTAACTGGAAAGAGTTTGCACGTATCTTTCTGTGTGAATACATATGCAAACACGACACTGCCGCTTTCCTCGGAAAAAGCTGTCAAGCTGCCAGCGAGCAATGCCGCACCAGCACTAGCCTGGCGTTACACTCCGTACAATTACTGTAATAACTCTAGTTGGGCATGACCGCTGGAAGAAGGACAAACAGATTAGTATCATGAAATCCCGGTAGGAATAATTGGACTTTAACTGATGTTCAGGTTATCTGGTTCACATTCCTAATTAGCATTTGCACTTTCCAATGGATGTTAACAATGCACTGTATAACTGTGTGGGCTGGCTCTAGCCTTGCATGCTGCAATGTATTTTGGCATGTGGCTGTACTAACCCATTTCTTTTCCCCTCGTTCTTTCGGGTGGGGAAGCATTAGCTAATTTTTTAATTTGCAATGTGCATGATGAAAAAGATTCCAATTGTGTCCAGACCACTGATTTTATTTCATTTTACTGTTTTGATTTAAACTGCATTTTTGCAATTTATTTTGGTGGACACTTTGGTTTCTACACTGCAGGGGCCACATGGCAGTCTCCTCTGTGCAAACGCAAGGAAAACACCCATAAAAGTTAAAATGTATACAGTAACAAATAACTAGCATACACAAGGGCAAGTTTCTCCCTCCCCACATTGCAGCTCCTGCAATTATTCTGGCAACACAAACAAGTGTAAAAGATTAACTGGTTGTCAGGAATATTTTGCACTCGCCGCAGTGAGCACTCTCTTCCCACAAATTCCCCCAGCTGACTCTCCGTGTCGCTGAATTCCAGCCTCCTGGCAACACACTTTCTCACTCTTTTTTTTTTCAACACGCTTTCTCACTCTTGCCTCTCGAATTACCCAATTTACACAAAAATATGCCCAGTCCCACAAAAAAAACATTACTTGCGCAAACAGTCATTACTTGCAAGCTGAAGTGATTGAGTGTACGCAAGCTTCCAACATCACTTTTGTACCAAGAATCCCATTTCTGGGGGAGAATCTGAACGTCACATATATGTCATAATTTAGTATGCATAGGAAAATATACGCATAATTTAATGCACATAATATGTGCATACACAAACATACACAAATTTCCAAGTGAAGGTTCAGTGCAGTTCCCAACGCAGAGGAGCTGGGGACCACACCACAGCGCTTCCCCGTCTATGGAGAGTCAATCAGAGGTACTAGACTCACGCAGGAGGACATTTTTATCTGTGAATGAGATAAAAATTGGCATACTATGACATTTCCTGTGTTTTTTCTGAAAGAATCTGAGCTGGTCAATATACAAAGGGCTGAACTGAGAAATTCTAGAAGCTAATCACCGCATTGCACTTCAGGCCAGAAAATTCCAAATAGGGGCAATGTGGTTTTGAACAAATCTTGATTAGAAGATGAAAAAAAACAGCAGAAGGTTTATTTCTCCCAAGGAAGATAAACAGAAGAAGTCATTCAAAGTTTAACTTCATTTCACTTCTACACATTTGTAATTGGTGTTTTCAAAGGATTTGCTCTTCTGCTTTTTTACACTTCTCCACGGTTTCTCTCCACAGGGAAAACAAGATGAAGGAGAAAGGTGACAGGAGAGAAAAGAAACCCTGAATTTCTTCAAATCTATCTTTTCTCAACTGAAGTCCCCAGCAGGAAGCTAAGTGGGGAGCATCCAGGAAGAAGAATAGGATGGAGAATCTTTCCTGGAGTGTTAACTGGCAGAAAATCAGCACGTTTTCCTCTGGTTTACTGAAGTACATCTTGCAGACGACGTGCATAACTTGCAGG